CACGCCCTGGGGCTGAGTTTCACAAACAGAAGCTTTACTGAGATGTCACAGGAGACTCGGGGTGAGCTTGTTACTGCGGCAGAGCCTGTCCTGTCCTGACTAATCCACAAGGACACAGATCACAGGCCCTGTCTCTGCCCTGGCGCCTGAGACGCATGAGCAGAGGGGAGCCGATAGGTTAATTCAAATGCAGGAACAACAATTAGCTCCCAGCTTTTGGTAAAGAAGTGCTGGCCGGTCTTGCGGAAGCCGAGGCGCTGGTAGAGGGCCAGGGCGGAGTACTGCAGCATGCTGGTGCTGAGGACAACCTCACGGTAGCCCTGGTCCCGCGCAAACTGCAGGACGGTCCTGACCAGGGCTTTCGCTATCCCCTGGCCCCGGTGCTCCCAGGCCACGCTTAAGTGAAACAGCTCCACCTGCTCCTTCCGCAGGGTGGACTCCCCAACGGGCAGAGCTCCCACCGTGCCCACCACCTGCCCCTCACACTCAGCCACCCAGAAGCAGGAGCCTGGCTCACTCAAGTAGGTTTTGCTGATGTCACGCATGTCTGTGCGCAAACAGTTGGACACATACTGGGTCCAGGGGTATTTGGCCAGGAACCTCAGGGCAGCCAGGAGGGTGAGGCCGGCCATGAGGGCCAGGAGCCAGGATCCAGAGACCACAAACAGGGCGAGGGGCCCCCCAAGCAAGAGCAGGAGAGTCCGCGGCAGCTTCAGGATGTGGCGGAAGGTGGTGGGGGCATATTCTGCTGCGCCCTTGGAGAACAAGCCCAGGACCCATGGGCGGTCGCTCTCCTGATATCTACGGATGTGACAAGGAGCCATGGGGACTGGTGGTCTGAGCCTCGAAGTCCAGCAGAGAGAGCTAGGCGTCCCTGCGCCCTTCCTGCAGCCCTGGGGAAGAGAGAGGAAGCCAAGTGAGACCCCCATCTCCCACCTCCCGGGAGCCACAGAGCCCCTGTCAAGGGCTTGTCTTTCTGCTGCTGCCCCGGGAAGTAGGACACAGCCACTGGGAGAAGGTGCAGGGTCAGAAAGCCTTTCATTTGACCTGGCTCCATTCCTTTCTAGCTGTGTGACCTTGGGCATGTTGCCTAACCTCTCTGAGCCTCTTCATCTGTACAGCAGCTTAAAACCAAAGCCTGCCTGAGGTTGTTCTGAGAATTTGATAAAACAACAGATGCATGTACCCTCCCCTCCACCACTTCCCCTCTTCCTGCCTCTCCTCTCAGCCCCTTGCTACATTGGTGCCACCATGCAGCAGCCAGAGCATGTGCCCCCTCACCCTTGGTGCCTCTGCCAGGGTCCGCACTTTGCAGGAAGCCTGTGTCCCCAAGCACAGGTCTCCACAAAGGCTCCTTCCCCCCTGATTGCAAAGGTGGAGGCTGCTGAGCTGGCCCGAGAGCCCAACACCCAACCTGGCCCTGCCTTGAGAGCCAGAGGAGGGTCCGGAGCTGCAGGCCACACTCAGAGCCCCGTCCTTCCACCCATGTCCTCTCACCTGTCACCACAAAAGCCTCGAATGTCCAGGGTGGCCTCAGCCCGGCCTCCTCCCTCAGCCTCTGACTGGCCTCTGGGAAGACTGTGCAGGGCTGGCTCTAGCCCTGGGACCAGGCCCTGGAGCCCACTCATTGGCTGGCTCCTGGCCATGTTAATCATCAACCCGTGTCAGGGAGCTGGGCAGGGAGCTTGTTCTCCATTCACTTTTGTGATTACGGGTCATTATCTGGGAGCGGGGGAAAGCAGGGTCTGGGACATCTCAGGGGTCTTCCCATTTGGGGTCTGTCTACACCTCCTCCTCCTGGTTTATAGGTCGTTGCTCACCCACAAGCCACGCGGCCGGGCGAGGGGGTTTTATCCCCTCATCCGCTGGTGGACATACGGGTGGTTCCCCTCTGGGCTCCTGTGGATGCTGCTGCGGTGAGCATGCTTGCGTACAAGTCGTTGTGTGAACACCTGCTTTCTACACCCAGGAGTGGGACCAGAGGGTCGTGTGGTCAATCTGTTTGACATTTTGAGGAACAGCCGAACCATTGTCCAAAATGGCTGCACGGCCTTACTCTTCCACCAATGAGCCTTATTTTACTGTCTGCCTCAGCCACTGCCTGGGCCGTACAGGGGGCGAGAGCTGGCTTTCCCTGAGAAGTTAGATGTCTGGCACTGTGAGAAAGATACTTTCCTATGCTGTGCTATTATTTATTTTCTTAGAGAGGAAAAGGAAGAGGAAGAGGAAGAGGAAGAGGAAGAGAGAGAGAGAGAGAGAGAGAGAGAGAGAGAGAGTTTGGCTGCCTCCTGCAACCTAGGTACATACCCTGACTGGGGATCGAACCCGCAACCTTTGGTGTACCGGATGATGCTCCAACCACTGAGGCACCCAGCCAGGGCCTATGATCTGCTTGACATTTACAGCAGCTTAAGAGCTAAGGTTGGCATCAATGTCCCCACTTTACAAAAGGGAAACCGAGGCCCGCAAAGTTGAGAAAACCTATAAGCCCCTCAGCGCCTGGCCGGTGGGGCCTTACATGGAGGCAGCTCGGACCGGCCTGCTGGTTTGCCTCCTCGGGGCCTCAGGCTGACCCACAGGCAGTGGTCTGACAAGTGCTTGAAGATCAGTGGGAAGCTCCTTGTGAGGAAAGCCAGCTCTGTCTGGTGCGTCTTCATCCTTCGAGCCCCCCTCCCCCCTCCCCCCAGAGGGCAGGCCACACCTGGCCAAATTCCGATGTGTGAGATGTGTGACAGGCTCTCTTCTTCCCTAGGATCCACAGAGACTCTGGGCCACTCCCAGCCGCATGCTCCCGCTGCCCTTCCCTCCTGAAGACTTGCTGTCAAATTGCTATTTCTTAACAAGCAACTGCTAACTTACTACAACTGGTTCACTCCCGTCGGCAGGTACAAGTCCCCTGACAAACGGCTTCATTCATCTTTCCGTTGTCCACAGACCTGACCAAAGTCGGTAAGTTCGCAGACATTGTTATTATTGTGGGATTCATTCATCTGGCACACGTCGCCAGTCTGTTCCTTCTTTTTAGTTACCTCGTTGTGTTCCCACCTCCTGCCAGCCTGCCCGCCAAACGCAAGCAACAGCCGAGGAGAAGGGAGACTCTTGCTCAGGGGTGGGCAAACTTTTTGACTCGAGGCCCACAATGGGTTCTTAAACTGGACCGGAGGGCCGGGACAAAAGCATGGATGGAGTGTTTGTGTGAACTAATATAAATTCAAAGTAAACATCATTACATAAAAGGGTACTGTCTTTTTTTTTAGTTTTATTCATTTCAAACGGGCCGAATCCGGCCCGCAGGCTGTAGTTTGCCCTCTGCTACTCTTGCTATTACATAAAACCTCATCCATCAAATTAAACAAAAGATGAGCTAAAGACAGGTGAAGGGACATTTGGAGTCAGCACCCCAGGTTTTCTTCCTGCTGGGTTCAGGCACTGACCTCTAATTACCACAGACCATGCCCTCCCTGCTTCTACTTTCCGGAAAAGTCAGTCTCCTACACCTGCCCGAGGGGGTCCCTGCACAGCTCTGTACGTTGCCTTCCCTGGGCCCCCCCGGCCTCACCTTTGTCTGCATCCCACCGGCCTGCGTTCAGAAGAAGCGCTCCCCCCAGCGCGCACACACACACACACACACATGCACGCACACGCCCACGCACATGCACTTGTCGTGGAAGATTTTCAAGTTGCAGAGACAAAAATTAGATTGCTGAATTCCTTGAAGGCAGAGATTGTTTCCTATGCATTTTTGTGCCATGAGAAGCATTCAGTGAGCATTTAATGCATGTGTGGTGAATGAATGAGAATTATAGCCACAGTGCCCTCAAGGCCTCCCCTGTCAGGGGCTTGGGCTTAAACACGGCACCCCCACCCTCACCCCCCACTTTGCTAAGGGCAGATGCAGCCCAGCAGCCCCTCTCCCAGTGAAAGCCTCTCATCATCTTTGCTCTCCCCAAACTTTTCTATCCTTTTGAATTAAGGAGCCAGCCGGTGGTCCTTGGACCACTGATGGTCCGTGAGGTCCTAAAGGTTGGCGACCGTTGATCTAACTCACCCTTTTTTACCAGATTTTTTAACCCCTTCCCCAACAATTTTTTTGTTAAAAACGTTTCTTTTTCAGACTAATTTTTTTATTTTGGTTCTATATAGTATTTTTGATGCTGGTTATGAAAACAGTTTGTAATTATTTTTTCTTCCCATTTTTGTGGTTAACTTTTTATTTTGAAAATACCTTTGTCGGCAAAAACGAGTCAACTCGTCTTCC